TTTCCTAAAAGAGGAGTGCTGTCAAAACTACAGGGCTTTGTTTTCTTTGTAGTGAAATTATCTTTCATCATTTTTGCAAAAGTATCTTCAGTTTCATTGTATTGGTATATCAGCTTCTAGGAGACACATTATTTTTTGTTGTTAGTTGCTCTCTATCTTTAAAATATACTGACATTTCTCTAATACATTAACTTATTTTGCTTTTCCAATCACTTTAGTTATTTTAACCTTTCCCTTCTTATCAGCAAAGACTTTCACTGGGATCTATTCCATTTCCTACTACTTTGATAACCAGTTTTGTGAAGGTTTTTTTTTTTTCATTTCCACATTATTTCCTTAGACCTAAATTTCCTTTTCCATCCCATTCTCCTGTTTTATCATTCTCAATTTTGAGATCTTGCTTAATGGAATTTATTTTCTTTTTTTCTTTTTTTTTTCCCTTGGTTTTTTTCCGGTACTGGGGATCGAACTCACGACCTTGTGCTTGCCGGGCAGGCGCTGTGCCCCTGAGCTAAATCCACAGCCTTGGAATTTATTTTCTTACTGAGTGGGTGCTATTTGTGGAAAGCAGTTATGAGACAATTCCATGGATTAAGGAGTGAATGTTTTTCTCATTTGTGGACTCTCTAAAAGTAGTTGAGGAAAGGGTATCGCATTCCAACGAGCTGTGGAACAGGTCTCCAGTTGGGAGTGTTGCTCTGAGACCTTTTCTCCAGAGATCATGTTTCTTTGCCTTCTTCCATGTCTCCAGTTTCTTCCCCAGGATCCTTTCTACTATTCCTTGTTCACAAAGGAAAACAAGGACAACCAAAAATGCGGAGGTTAATCCACTCATTTTGCTTCTTTCCAGATTTAGGAATGCTAGGATTCTCAGGATGGCTGCCACTTGCCAGTACAATTCTGGAGAGGAGTCTCTGTTCTGATCAGACTACCACTTCCATCTTTTCCCACCGCTATTGGTTTTGGAGGTATGGTGAATTGGGTTACACAATTTTCTTTGCTCAGTTATGTTGAATATTGTTCCAGGTAGAGGTGGTTTGCTTCCTGGCTTTTACTTTTGGGGCGGGGGGGTTACTTCATTATTTAACAGTGGTGAGAAATTATTCAGTGTATTTTCAAATCTTTCACCTCCAAAATTAAAGTTACAACTTAAGTTCAGAATCTGAATGGTAGATGTCTGAAGGATGTGTTATTTAATGGATGTAGTAAGAATCATACTACCTGTGTCATTCTCTGAAACATGAAATATTCATCATGTCCTCCATCTTAGTGTACCCTATTTATAACTAGTTTTTGATTGATACCTATCCACTATTGCAACCAATAACAGTCTTATCAGTGAATCTAATCTGAGATTGAGAATGGCAAAGTAGTACTTATGGGGAATACTAGAAGTGATTCTTCACACGACACTAACAGTTCACAGACTTACATTTTCATAATTAGATTGTGCTTTTCAAGTAGACATAAGTGACTACTGAATAGAAAATATTCTCTTTCTCTTCATACTACACACAGGAACCAAAGGATTGGGGAAAGGACAAAATGCATTTTAATAAAGAATCCAAGATTTACATTTAAATGTTTTTCTTTTTTACCCTAAAATATGAACACATGGTGAAAACTGAATTTTCCTTATTATGTCTATATCTGATATTACTTCTATACAAACTCTAGGGAAATCCTTCATAATACTGCGTGGAAAGCTCTGCCATCCAACATGGTGAGAAACATGCCCAGCAACAGGCAAACCCCCCGATCCTGCCAGCCCCTGCTGAGAGACCTCAGTCAGTCAATATTTGTACCTCCCTCAATTTCTGCCACAGTTATCACCTATCCTGGCCTACATGAGCCACAGAATTTGAGATGTACGTGGCAAAATGTGTCATTCACAGTGGATTCCAAAATTTTAGATGACAGTTTTTTAACTAAAAGGAGATTATCGGACTACAATATAAAGCCAGATACTAAACATCTCAGTTCTACCTAACGTGTTTAACCTGACCAGGTCAGTATTAAGAAAACATGCAACCACGTACAGCACTCGTAATTCAACTGCATATAAAGAGCTCTGACCAAAAGTAGTATATATTGACATATAATAGCCAATATAAGTAGAACAAAAAATGAGAATTGCTAATAACAATTATTCAATAAAACTAACTTTTAAAATAATCTTGAGAAATTTGCTACTAGAGTTTCACTGATTCGTCACAGACTCAGCAATCACTTTCTCTCTGATTACTAATTATACAGTGAGACACTTCTGAGCACACACACAAATGCTGCCCTAATGCATAGTCACAATTTGTGTACAGAAAAGACTTATCAGACCAAGATAACCAAAGAAAGGCTGATTTACACCATAACTAAAGAAACCTGACTATGGATATAAAAAATTGATTCTCCCTATGACCTGTAACCTATAATTTAACTTAGCCAGCTTGTTCAGCAAAGTACAACGTGACACTGCAGAGCCAGCAACTCAGATTTAGTCATTAAAACTTGTAAAGATAATAGTGACTGTATACTTCAAATACCTACTGCTGCATATGAGCCTCATAAGAATGCCAAGAGACAAGCTGGACGACATCATTATTCTTTAGTTTGAAAATGAGCAAACCAGTTAAACAATGAGCCCACAGCCGACCTTGTGGGAAATAGAATTTTTTTTTTACAGAACTTTTGGTTCTTTGGACAAGCACTCACTCTCTACCACTCTGCACTGCTGCCTACTTCTCTCTTTCAGATCCAAAGATTCCATCCATTTTTCCTCCTAAGAATCACAACCAGGTCCCCAGTGCAGGTGGAAGGCGAACGGGATTTGTAAACAGAGTATATTAGAGAAGCCCACCCTTGATTTAGCGATTACAACACAGGACCAGCCGTGCTGATGGTGGCTCGCCAGCACTATCATCCATCCGTTCTCTAGCCCCACAGCAGTGGTTCTCAGTTTGCTAACAGTTACAACAGCTGGAGAGATTTAAGAAAAAGCAGTGTCCATCCTTTATCTGTCACCAATTGAAACAGAGAGCTTAAGGGTGGAATAATAAGCATTATACTCTGCAGAATGCTCCTGGTGACTTAAGTGTGAGAACCAGTGTCTCACAGAAACTACACAAGAAAGACTCAGTGAATTAAACTTAAGGATATGATACAGGAAACAAAACCAAATGCTACACAACATCACAGGAAGGATACAATTTGTGTTTCAAATTTTACAAACAAGGTGACTTTGAGTTTCTTTATTTACCCCAGACAGGTTAGGGCCTTGATGTTAACCGTATCACTTATCATTTAATAGCTAGTGCTTCAATGTTGCTTCATAGAGCTCATAACAGAATGGGTAGTCTCAAGCACCGCCCTGTTTGAAAATGTTGCTGCTTTGTACACACATTACTAACTGTCAGGGAATAACAATCTTAACTGAGAAGGGAGTGAAGCTGTGTGTGATTATCTAACGTGGAGAAAGAGCAAAGCTTGCTAACACCTGTAGCCAGCCCTAGTGGCACTAGGCAATTGCTACTTGATAAGCCCACCCATGTTTCTACCATTTGAAAGAAATATTAAATTTATACACAGAGGCAAAGACTGAAAGGATGATGCTTAGTACTGAAAAGGCATCTATAACAGTTATTTTCAAAATTTAATGCTAAGTGACCAGTTCCATCCCTGACATACCCATTGACCTGTCCCCAAGTCCTTCTCAGCTTTCAGCCGCAATGATAATAAACTACTGTAATTCTGGGAGGTTTACTTCTGTTAAACAGACACTACTCACTTACGGAATTCCCATCAAGCCTACAAACACAAAATTGGAAAAAGTTGATATTTTATTTTGATTTCATGTGAAGGTTGTGTCAGAAGATTCTTAAAATCATCATGATCATTCAAGGTTTAAAGAAAACTTGCTTCAGGCAGAATTTGCAGATGGGAAGGCGGATTAGCACCAAAGCAGACATCGTGCCAACCTGTGGAATATCCGACTGCATACCTAGCCCTAGCTCTACAACATAAATGCTGCTTTACGTTGCATTCATATCACGTAAATCGTGGCAGTGGTCTATAACTACGATTAAGCCTACAAAGGAACTTAGAAGATCTCAGGAAGAACTTCAAGGCAATGCAGCTTGAAGTACTCAAAAGAGGACAGAAACAGAGCCCCGGAAGCTTTGTGAACTAGGTACAGAGAACACATCGAAAAGCAATAATTAAAAATACATGATATTGCCCTGAGAAGCGCCTTCTCCCATCCACACATCCTTGAGGGTACAAGCACATCCACAGAGGAACTAGAAATTGGAATCTGTTACTGTTATCCTTTAAAACACTGCACCTGCTTCTAACACATTTATAAGTGTGTGTGCCACTGCATCTGCCTGACAATGCCAGACTTCCCAAATGTTTTGGGAAAAAAAATTAAAATAAGCATCTGCTAATAACAATTTCATTTCATCCTAAACAGTTTCATTTTGTGCTGAGGAGAAAAAGCCAAATGATGAAAAAGAACAAAACTACCTTTAAAACTCTGCAGCAAGCACATTTCAGAAGGTAGGACTATAAATAGATGCATACTGTAAATATAAATTCATCAGGCTGGCTGAGGCTGCGATTTAAACTGAAGCTCCAGTATGAACTTACCTGATTTAAAGTCCTTTCGGCATATGCTTACAACCAGCACAGATCTCCTTTTTCTAGCTGCATAGTAAAGCAAAACACCCTCCACTCTATTCTACTTATCTCACTCTCATCTCTCATCAAAGGCAATACTTTGCAATTTCATTCAGAAGCAGCCGTCCCCGTACAGACTCAGAATATGCACAGAAACAGTAATGGAAGGGATCTAAGTTAAACCCCACAGCCGCACCAAGAAAACACCAACATCCCACCGAAAAGGCAGCAGTTTCTAACAAGAGGTGCTTTTTTTTTTTCCTTCAGTTCATTTTCCAAGCTAGCCCTTTTGCAACAGAAAACCTCTCGGTAATGAAAAAGGATCTTACCTGAGCTGATCATACTGTGCATTCTTTGCTGAGCCAAGAGCTGCTCCCGTCCAGCCACCCCATCTGAGGAAAAACAAGAGTCACTCTCGTAAATTGTCTGCAGCATAATCCAGTCACTCTTCCTTCAGCTACATGAAAGATTCATCACCGCTCAGTGCACTGGCCCCAGGAGCTACCCTGGCTGGTCCTCCCTCCTCCCCGAGGAGAAGCAGCAGAGGATCAACTTCAACAATGATTTCTTTTCTGCTCAGAGGACAGACACTTTTAAAAAGACCTGGGCACTTTCCCCAGGTGACCAACCTGTGTGCAAAGTGGAAAGGACAGAGTGGATGCTAGAGCTCTCTGGAGTTTTAGGTTATCCCGGAAACTAAAAGCAGGTGGGAAACAGGAATGTGCTTCGAGGTTATTTCTTTGTCAGAATAAGTAGAAAAATATTTAACTCTACCCACGAGAAAAAGAAACCAATTAAACCTGGCTTATAGCTCTTCAGGCAGCTAGGGTTTCTTTGCAAGAACCCTCAGTCCTGCAAGTGGCTCCAGCCCGTGCCCCTCTCCTATCTGTGAGTCTCTCTCTTCCCTTTCTCAGTCTCTCTCAGCTCAAGTTGGCTAAAGCCAGTGATAATCCATTTGCATATGAATCAACAACAGCATGGCCCACAGGCACAGAAATAGAACAATGGTCGGCCTGAGCCAAAAATAGGTCAAGCATGGCCGAGTGATTGGAGCCTGCATTAATGCATTTAAAAATACCCCAGCAAACCCAGCTGTCCAGCCTCTATCTTTCAAACCATAATTCTCTGTTGCAGGGCCTTAAAAGCAATTAACCCTTTCCTCCCTCCAAGCTTGCTTTTTCTGTACTGTTTCCATACTGGCAATTCGTGTCCAAAGCAAGAAAGGCAAGGAAAAAAAAATTAAGAATCATAATTCTAAAAGGGCAAATGCACATACATTTAATTTCATTTTATTTTTGTAGTATGTGTTTTTGGAAGAGAGAAGAGAGAAGTGCAGAGCTCTGTATTGGTTCTAAAATAATACTGGAAGCTTTTGCTCATAATGTGGTTTCTGCCTCACCCACGCACAGCAATCCTGGTGTTCTATTTTTGTTGCCTGTTTCTCTGGCTACACTGCAGTTGGCTGTAGCACTAGAAGCTTTGCTGCCTTCTAGTTTCAGCACTGACAGGAGATTTAGTGGAGGTAGTTTTGGAAAACAAGCACACCCCAGAATAAAATTTTTATGAAGGACTGGCTTGATTTTGTTTTACTTGCTATTTATGTAGGGCAATTGTCCATTTCAGAAATCCTAATGCGATCTTAGTACCAACTATCAATTTTACTGCATCCAGTTCCTACTATGTCTTAAAAACATGCCCAAAACAAAATCATGGCTTAGACCTGAAATGCTGCACTCTCAGGCTAAGTCCATATTACTTGCAAAAGGAAAAGGAAAGGGAAAAGAAAATGATACTCCCTTACGGATGCAGAATTACTGAATATCTGCATTTGTTGACAGATATATTCACTACCCAGATACATACTGTGTTCATCTACACACTGGGTAGCTTAAACATAAACCTTGATTTTCTATAGAAATAGATAACAGCTGATAGAATCCCAGACCAGCACACTTTGTGACATTCACTTAAAAAGTAAATGCACTGCACAGTACTAGATAGTGTAACACTTGTATGATCGCTGTTGTACATTTGTAATTTTTGTTTTGTTTTGTTTTTTTGTTTTTTTCTGGTACCGGGAATCGAACTCATGATCTTGTGCTTGCCAGGCCCGCGCTGTGCTGCTGAGATAAATCCCCAGCCCCGCTGTTGTACATTTGTAACATCATTTCTCTGTTCTGCATCCTGAATGGAGATGCTAGCATCTAAACATTTCCAAGAGGAACAAAAGTGCGAGTCCACCAGTCATGGAATCTCTCCTGCTTTTCTGAACTAGATCAAAAAGAAAGATATCATTCTTAAGGGATGGATGGCAAATGGCAAAGAAAGGAGAAAAGGAGGTATTGTAAGTTCCCCAGAATAGTCAGGTGGAGGAAGGCTTTTGGTCAGGGTATGAGACAAGCACACGCAGAGTTGTGGTGAAAAGAAGAAATATGTCAACTTATTGATCAGAGAACCCACTGCTGAATTTCCCTCTTTCATAGATTAATTTCTGTTTAATGCCACATTTCCTGAAAAAAAAAAAAAACATATTTGGACAGATAAGTTACAAGATTTCTTTTTAAAATTGGTTAATCCAAGTTGCATTTAACTTAAGCTAACCAACAAAACCTTATGTCCATACCCGAAGGTAACAAAATTTGATTCTACCTGATATTACAAACTTTAGGTTAAGAAATGTGGGCATAACATTCAAGGGAGAGATACAGTCTGGCTGCAAAAATTTCCTTCAGGATGACATACTTGGTTACCACACATAACATTTTAGACCTGGGAGGAAAGAGAAACTGTCCACGATGGTCTTCAGACTTGGGCTCGGGGCCCACGGGGAGCTGGGAGCTGCCTTAGTTTCCTTTAGAAGAGGTTGGCCTCTCCTATCACTGCAGCTCTATTTTATCTGTTTACCTTTGGGGATACAATATTTCTGTCTTTTTTTCATTCTCTCAAACACTTAAATAGCATTGGTATCAAAGTATATTTGACAAATCAAGATACTATATATTTAAGGTATACAATCTGCAGATTTAATATACACATGAAATCACTACAGTCAAGCTACCTGTCTGTCAGCTCAGCAAGTTACTTTTCTTTCCTCCTTCCCTTCCCTTCTCCTGCTTTCTATTTTCCTTTCCTCTTTCCTCCCCTGCCCCCAGGGAGGACTAAACAGACTTGCTTAAGATAACCCAGGTAATTAACCGCATAGGTCTAGCCTTGATGTTCTCTAGTCCTAATATTTTTTTTTCCTTACTAAAATCAAACAAATAATTCTCTGGAATATTTAGAATAAAATTTAATGTGACCATTGGATGACAAATACAATCACTGTCTAAATGTTCACAATGTTTTTAACAAAACATAGAAAAACCATGATAAACTTATGAGGGATAACACAATCATAATACTGGCATAATATATGCCTACACAGCTCTTGTTGTTTTATGCTTAATTACACCCTCAATCCCACAATTGACAAAAAGGATCTCCAAGCATTTATTGTCATAAACAAAAAATAGAACAGACTCCAGAATAGTGAGTTAGTAATTATCCTATTTCTCAAAGGTTCCGGGAAAAGGCATTCCTATATGTCTTCATTTTGACCAAGTTTTTAACTTGAGGTTTATTTACATTTCCTCCCAGCATTCTTTCAGTATTTTTCCCATTGGCAGTCTAGTTTTTCATTTAACTCTTACTAATGAAAAAAAAATTTTAGTGGGAACACATACTGTACATATAGAATAGATCCCACTCATCTCTAGAAAAAAATAAGCACCATCTAAATCACCACTTCAGGTGTGGATTACCATCGTGCTGCAATTTAAAATTTCAAATGTTATAAAATTGAGTTAATTCTCATGCCATTTCAATAATGTTGGTAAGGAAGTGTGACTAAGTTTCTTTTGGGGCATTTACTAAACCAGTGTTACTGATTTGGGATAAAAGATATATTTTCTAAGGACTTTAAAAAAAAACTAATACAAATATCAAGCTTAAAAGGTAGTATAAAAATCTCAATATAATTAATTTTAATTCACTTTAATAAGAATTTTTGAAACTGATATAAACATAATACTTTGCATTCATATAGGTAAAATTTGTCAGAAAAAAAAAAACTAGTGCATAAACTAAGTTCCCAATTTAACAGAAGGCAGGAATGAGAATCAAATCCCAATGTAAACATGTTATTAAATCAGGATTTTTATGAATATATTTGACCACATAACAAAATGTATTAGAAAAACTGATGCCAGAAATATCCTCAGACCTCTAGTTTACAATGACCTTTTCTCACATCAATCTTATTGATGACAGAAGACCCTACCAGGGAAGGTAGTATATATGATTTATTCTACCACAAAATATCCTCTGTTCATCTCTAATCAAGCAGACTTTTCATAAGGGACTGAATCCTCTGAGTTTGGAGTCTAAGCTTTAAAATAACCCCTGAAATTCTGAACTGTGCTTTATCACAAATGCTACAAATTACTTGGCAGTAAATGATGACCCTCACTCACTCAAGCATTCACTGACATTCTTTCTTTCCCAAACCTCAATTTCTCAAACTGTTGCAGGATAAAGTCTTACACAACTGTTTATGGTCAACAAACTTGGTACTTTTAGGTCCTCAAGGAGAAGGAGGGATAGAGAAAGTAAAGTGTATATTACTGTTTGGGTAATTATCTTATTTATCTGAATTTTCTCTTAGAGGAACAGCACGAACTTCAGCGGATATTGGACACTTTATTTGCAAGTGATTCTTCTCAAATGTAAAAGGGTGATGGGTTATCAAACAATTTTTAGATGAGAAAGTCATGCCAGAACCCATCAGCAAAAACGCATCTGCAATAAAATTCCAGGAAGACTTTTGTATGAAAGAACATCAATAATAGCAAAAACCCTAGAGCCACTGGCCTTACTTTGGTTGAAAATAATTTCTCCCCTAACTCTTCCCTTCAAATGAGATGAGTTGATTGATAAGTTAGTGTATTTTTTTTTTTTTTAAATTACAGAGGGTTCGACATGCAGTCTAGACCCTTTCCCTGAACTACTAAATCAGAATCTCTGGGAAGAATCTATATTTTAACAAGCTCTCCAAGTGATTCTGATGAACGAGAGGGTTTGAGAACCACAAGATTAGATCATCTTTCCAAAGTAGTAATTAGATGGCTAAAAATATAGATGGATAAAGTATCTTTTTGCTGCAATTTCAAATTAGCAAGTATTATTAGAGAACAATTTTTAAAAATGAAAATAATTAAATTCAATGCATTAATATGTAAAATATGGAGAGACTGAGGAGGGTTGTCCAGAACAGATTCTTGCAAAAACGAGACCAGCACTGTACTTTTAAGGCGATGGGCCTGTGTGTGCTGCTTTTCCTTGTTGAGCTGCTGTT